ATGCAGATACCGGTGAGTGGAGGTGAGCAGGCGAAGGCTACAAATATTAGCTGGACCAGTTGTACGGAAATTCATACGCTTAATAGTGTTGTTAACACAGCGGTTAGCAAAGCTGCATCCAGAGGAGTGAGCATACAATGTTGCCAGTAGAGCGCGCTGAGCCGAGTGATCGTTTATGTGAGAGAGCAAGCAAAGAGCGACGACTAATGTTGTTTACAAATTTAAGTAGTCAATTGGCATCTAACTGGGGAATGACGGCACGAACTACTTTCCAGTGGACAAGAATTAACAGCGACAACACCGTTATTGCAAAGCTGGGTCAAATCGCATACGAAGTGGACGGGCATTGAAAGATATGTGGACAGTTGTTAGAGATCAATTGCAGACACTGGAATTATAGGGAGAGTGAGTGAGAGCTTTGTGTACAGAATTAACATTAACAGCCAATAATTTGCTACAGGAAGGAGACAGTGTTAAATGAGTGGTAGTGTTAATTGAGTGGCAATGCTAAATGAGTGTAAGAGAGAAGCGACAGTTAGTTTAGACTCTGAGCGTGCATGATCACTAACTCATTCAGTAGTTTCGTTATTGAGAATGAGATTGAGCAATTGCTAACTTAGAAACAAAGGCTTATAATGACATTGGCGGCCTTGAGGGATATGCCAAGCTCATAATCGTCAATAAATGTGGACTTAATATTCACCATTTTAGATATTCAAGTTAGCCTTTCTCTAATGATCCTTACTTTTTAGAAGACAATCCGCTATATTTTGGGGTATGTTTTGAAACCCAACTGAAGCTGAAGCTGAAACTAAAGAAAGGATGACATATGAGGTGGATATATGAAATAAATGTCGAAAGCTCAAGAGCTTCAGCACTAATTCTTTTTAAAAAGCTTTCAGTAATCTGTAAGCTTCTCTGCTTTAGCTATAAAGAAGAGAAAATGATTGTTAAAGACAAAGCTTTGCCGTAAAATGGAAAGTGTTATAGATGGGAATAGAAAAATCATCTAACGATATAAATTTACAGATATTTAACTTCAGAACTCAGAATGGCTATGCTCCCAAAAAATTGTAATTTTAACTCACCGAAACGACTCTGTCAAAAGAAAAATTTTAGAATAGAGTTAGAAATTAATGTTGAAAATTATTGTTATTCCAAAAGCTTTCGAGAACTTTGCCGTAAAGTGTATAGTATCATAGTTAAGAAAAGAAGAATCATCTAACGGTGTCAATTTGCAGATATATTGTAAGTATGAAATCAATGTCGAAACATCGAGAGCTTTAGCACTTGTTTGCAACCTTAAAAAGCTTCTAAAGATCTATGATCTTTTCTGCTTTAACTCTAAGCTGAGTTAGGAGCGAAAATTTATTGTTAAAACTAAAAGCTTTCGAGAGCTTTTCCGGGAAGTGTATAATATCACAGTTAAGAATATAAAAATTATCTAACGGTGTCAATTTACAGGTATAATATATTCTTATAATGATCTATCTTTTCTGGTTTGGTTCTAAGCTGAGTTAGGAGGGAGAAATTATTGTTAAAACCAAAAGCTTTTGATAGCTTAAAAAGCTTCTTGTGTTCGGTGAGATTTTCTGCTTTGCCAGAAAGCGAGCCGTATCATATGTGAGAGTATAAGAATAATCTAACGTTGTCAATTTAAAGACATTTTATATGTATGAAATCAATGTTGGTAGCTCGAGAACTTCAGTAATTATTTATAACCTTTAAAAGCTTTTAGTGATCTGCGAGCATTTTTAGGTTTGCTTAAAGCTTGTTTGGACTGGTGAAATTATTGTTAGAGCCAAAAGCTTTCGAGAGCTTAAAACCTTCACGCGTTCGGTGAGCTTCTATGCAAAGCTACTAGTGATCTGTGAGCATTTCTAGGTTTGCTTAAAACTTGATTAGACTGGTAAAATGATTGTTAGACCAAAAGCTTTCGAGAGCTTAAAATCTTCACGCGTTCGATGAGCTTTTACGCTTTGTCTTAAAGCGGACAGCATCAGAAGTGAGCGCAAAATAATAATCTAATGGATATTCCTTACAACTTCAAAAAATTGGCCAAATGCTTATTTCGAAAACCTGATTTTCAATATTTACAAATTCTTCCTCATTTTATTTTGACTGCGAATTTCGAATGTCTACCATTATTTATTAAAGAATAAATTGTTGGCTATTTATTACAACCAGTTCGCTCGTGCAATTCATATTTCTGCACTTGTTGGCGCATTCTTTGCGCAGACGCAGCAAAAGAGCCAACGTAAACGAAAGAAAAGCTAGCGTTTATAGTTGTCATTAGTGAAGCACCGCAGCTGCGCATTGTTCGCTGTAACGAAAAACAATAACAAATGCAACAGCAAACGGCAAACGTCTCGAGATCATGCCAAAGCAGGGAAAAGTTGTCAATCGAGACTTTTTGCTTTCAGCCATTCGCAGCGTAGCGTGTTGAGCATCGCAGATCATCTCAACGGACTTCATTTATTCAGCGTACCATGCAACACGCTCACCATAGTCGCCAGTCGCGTTCAGATGGACGACGACGCGCCGTGGCATGGCACATCTTACCCGAGCACTTGCGTTTTGGCATCGATTTGTCTTTCGAAGCGGCTTGTTTGCTTGGCAAGTTAGCGGTTTGGCTGCTTGGTTGGTCGCCTTGATCTTGGCCTGGTGCTGGCTTGCCTCGTTTCGTTCGTCATTGATACCCGCTTAACTGTTTCGCCATTTTTCCTGACATCCCGAATCCGGTTAAATATGAACGAACCGCTGAACGAACGGCCGAATGGACTTGACTCGTCCACATCAACTTACTATTCAACTTAATTGAATTGTGGATTAGGCTGCTGCTGAGCTATAGAGCTGCAGCTGCGTTTGCTGGGGCCGCCGTTACCGTTGCGGCCATACATACGGTACATAGTGTGCCGCCAAACAAGTGCGGATGTGTGTGGACCAGTTTTTGCCGTTTACATTTTTCCTACATACATATATTTTGTTAAATTTTTTTGTTTTTATAATTTTTTGTTCGTAGCTTATAACGCTCTGAACAGTTTTAATTTAATCTCCTTTGACGAGTTGTATGTCAAATGCGAAAAGCACCAAGCAGTTGGACTGAATGTGAACAGGATTTGTGAAATGGCAATCATATGTGTATAATGCACTTTCCACACATCATATCTCAATGTGCGCGGGTATACATGTACAATATCGTCTAGGCTTAATACTGGGAGTTGCGCGTCTGATTAAGACATACCACCAAATTTGACTTGAGCTGATAGTAAAAAAAAAAAACGATTTCACGTATTGTAATATAAATCGTTATTATCGTTTTAAAAATAGGATCCTTTTGAGCAAATTGGGGCTTGCCAACACTTAATACAATTTTCTATACACTTTTTACTGCTTCCATGGATTCATGTCGTACTCTTCGAAGTGGATTTTCAGTTTCGAAAACAGAAAAATCCACAAGGAACCAAAACTGGCGTATGTGGGAGCTGAGCGATGACTCTAGTTTAGTCAGTCACAGTCATGTCATCCTGCCCACAAATTCGGTCCTTTAAACTGAATATCTTCACATACAGACCTCGAAACTGCCAAGTAGTATTCCTTATTGACCGTTTGACACTATGGAATGAAGTCATGGTGAAGCACACCATGATAATGGAAGAAAACGGTAAGCAGCACTTTAATGTTTGGTTTCGATCCATTTTTACGGCATGATAGGCAAGATTATTAGACAGCTTGGACGTTATATTCATAAACCCATATACGCTCCGTTGTCAAGCCTCTTTTTGGTGACCTATACTCCACGTCGTTTTTGCAAAAGATTCAAATCTTTTGTTTCGAAAATAGATTTGAGAAGTATCATATCCAAAAGCACAAACCGAAAATGTGTTGAATTGATCGATAGGAGCTATTGGGATCCCCGGCTGTCACTCTGCTGCCAACTCGATGATTTCCAAGTGCTGTTTCTGTAGCTTTATCGGAGTTACCCTCATTAACAGAGGCGTATAGATGACTCGTAGGAGAAACCATAATTTAATCTTACGGACAGACTCCTTAAACACGAAGCGAAAGTGTAAATTATGTTATTGAAGATCAAGCTGTTAGGGCTTGAGTTATTCAACCTAATGTTAATTTCTTCAAACATTAAACATACATAGTATCTAACCTATATAACATTTGTCCAAAGCTTAAAGGATATTTTGTTTCCACTCAGAAATGCGTGAAATCGAAAATTCGAATATGCGGCGGGTTTTAACAAGCTCCTCTCTGATTCTCTTTATATTGAATCCTAACACCGTTCTAAATAGGCATATTGGTTTATGCGGAAGGATGTCCCTTTGATGGATATTCATGATGACAGTGAACAGATCGTCACGAAGTTGGAGAAAACAGATTATAAAGTTTATCGCAAATACAACGTTTGAGGCCTTCGACACGTGAATAACAATAAGTTTCTCTTCGATCAAATTTAATATTAAAGAGAATATTTAATTACCTACAACAAATATACAGTATGTATATGCTAAAATTATACATATAAACACTCACACCAACATAACGCAATAAGGTTAATAAACGGCATATCAACAAATCGCCATTAAATTGCATTTTGTCTCTATCGTGTCGCTGGCAATCAATAAATTAAGCAACCTGTATCAATGCCAGGCAACGTAACAGCAAAGAAAAGTAACAACAAGGTCAGGCGAAGCAACAGCAGCAGCAACAACAACAGCGCTGTAATTTAACAGCGCACAGTAGCAGCATGCTAAGCAATGGACGCTGCTGTGGCTCTCTTACACCTGTCATTCCACTGGAAGCTGCTGGCTGTTGCTCATTGTTGCTGACCGACTGATGTTGAGTGAAAGCATAGCCACCACACCACCACGAAACCGTTGTATGCACAACACATTCTCCAGTTCAAGTGGCAGCTGCGGCGCCAACCGCTCAGCAAGATCTCTATTGCTACAAAGCAAATGCGGGAAAGAGCTTGCCAGCAGCARAAGAAACAGAAGAAGAAGAGGCAGCTGGAACTGCTAGACGACAAGCTGCGTCAGTCTAACGAAAGAAAGTAACGCTTTGGATCGCGTATTTCGCGTTCGTCATTCGTTGCGTGCACACGTGTTCTCGGCTGCGTCTCGCTTATAACCGTTATTGCCACAACAAGTGTGTTACCATATACTAACTGCTATACAGCTGCTGAGTCTGGCAGTATTTTGTTAGACACTGAATGCCCTACGACGTGTAGTTAGTGTTTGCAGACATAAAAAACAATAATAAGTTAAAATAAATAAATAAAAGAAATAACAAATAAATTGTAGAGAAAAAAAGTGTTGAAGAGCAAGTGGTGCTGGATGCACCAGCCAACGACCAAGCGACCGACCGACCGGCTAACCATACAGACAACCACACAGAAAGAACAATAAGCGGCGCTCCACTTCTTCTTCGTCTGGCGAAAAACTGTTTGCTGCTGACTCGTTGGCGCATAACTGTTTTTTTTTTGTTTGTTTTTTTGTTGTGCTGTGTGTGTGTGTGTCTGGTGTTGTGCAGACAAAGCGCAAAAAGTAGAGAGTTTACAGTAAAAAATAAAAAATTTGAAAAAAGAAAAAAATTGAAAAAAATTTTGAAAAACGGAATTTGAAAAGAAAAAAAAAAATAAAGTTAAAAGAACCTCTTTAAACCAAAAACCAATAACAACAATTTAATAGACTCGGCATAGCAAGTGAGTCTATCGCCACAAAACATTAAAACTTTTGCTATCTCCGCGATCGACACCAACAATCACAAGCTAACAGCCGCGAAATCGCCAACACCATCGCGCAGAACCAACGAAGCAACTCTGCGTTCGAGCCTAACCCGTGTTGCTGCGCGCTGCGCCTTCAAGTGTATTTTAATAAGGTGCGAATTACAGCTGAGTTTTTATCATTAAGTTTTTATTATTTTAAAGCAACAATAACAACAAAACCAGCAAATAGAACAGATTTTGCATAAAGTTCAGCGTTTGGCATCGTTGCGCGCAGAACGCGCGTTGCTTGCTGAATGTAAAAGTGTAAAATACTAAGAGCAAATAGTCAAAATAACAATAGCAATAACATTTATGGCAATAACTGCACAAAGAATATGAAACTCATCTTGTGGCCCAAAGCATACGGAACTAAAAAAGAAAGCAGCACATTGCACTCATGTACATACGCGTGTGTGTGTGTGCGTGCTTGTTTGTTGTTGTTGTGTTGCGTTCCACGCGCTGACCGATATTTTGTGCTTCTACTTTGTGCACATCAATGGAGAGTTTAATGATCAATAATTGCGATTCAGCGCTGGTATATTTGACTGCACACATGCTTAAATACAAATAGCGCATACATATGTACACCTTTGGTTATATTTATTAGTATTTAGCGCAGTGGGGGCTCAACGGCTTTATTTAATAAATATTGAAAATTATTTTCTATTTTCCACGCATATCAACGAATGCTGAAAATAGCTCCAGAAACAATTATATTTATGATTATAGATACTTAATTTTTGGTTTTCAAATGAAAGTAGAAAACTACACACAGACTATTTAAACAAGTAAGGAGAGGCAATCGAACATTTTATACTTTTGCAATTTGCAAGCGGCAAAGTCCTTCAGGAAAATATGCGAGTTGGGGGTAGTGTTGACCCGATTTTGTATATTTTGGCCAGTAAAACATACTATTAGTATGCCAAATAATAAAAAAAAAAAGGGTCCCTGAGATTTGATAAGGTATCTCGTGTATAATCACGAATCTCATGGGCAAACGTCAGTCAGATGTTCGAAAATCCTGGTAATGGTTATATGGGGGTCTACTTCAAGTTTCGCCCAATTTCAACTATTTTCGGATAACTGTTATGATAAAAAGAAGCTCACTGGTTTTCATTGAGATAACTCACATATTGACCGATATACATATGCGCTACAAAGTCACCCAGAAGTTCGAAAACCTTTATATTAGGCATATGGGGGCACAGGGAAGTACTATATTTACAAGATTCAGCCCATTTTTAATACACAAAGATATTATTATTATATATCCCAAACATTGGCCGCTATTTTCGGGCCAAAGGTCAACTATAGATACTGGAGTCCACATTGCCGGAATTTGCGAGCTGGAACAGTTTTGGTTGGATTTTGACAATTTTTGGTTAAAGGTGGCATATTTGCAAGGCATTATTCGTGCCAAGTTCATTCCGTTAAATAAATTACTTTTAGATTTGTGGACTAGAAAGTGAAAGAATCTGATGAAATTTAAAAAATTGTGCTATATGAGAAGTAGGCGTGGTTGTAGTCCGAATTGCTAATTTTTGTAGTGTGACGTACGATTGTGAGAAGTGATTGTGTCAAGTACCAAATTTAGTAAAAATTCGTAAGTTTGGTTCCGAGATATATGATATTACCTAAAAGTTGGCGATGCTATGCCCATCGTCCAATTTTAAATTCGATTCTTATAAATCCCTCATACCATCTCGGATGTAAAACTTTTTTGGTGACGTTCCCTGGGGTCCGTTTACGCCCATCTGCAAACTCCACCTTCATTTTTTTGCCAAGGAATATGTATACAAATTTTCGTCAAGATATCTTAATTTTTACTTATGTTATAGCTTGCGTGGATGGACGGAAATACAGACAGACAATTAGACTTATATTTGAACTCGTCACATGATCCTGATCATTTACCTACATCTAACTCGATTATGTTTAGGCGATACTTACAACCGTTAGGTGAAGAAATCTTTTATGCTCTGTAGCCACAGACACAACTCTATATGTACACTTCAAAATTTCAGTTTATTGACGCTTAAGAGCACAAAAAAATCATCTGTAGAATTTTTTGGAAGCAGATTATAATTAAAAGAAAATATTTTGGATTTGATGAAATTGAATATAGGAGCTTGATCAGAATATTGCCATTTTTTCTTTTTTAGACTTGAAATACTACTTGATTTTGAATGTGGGTAAATAGTTGTTTTATTAAAATCATAAAAAGGATGAATGCCGATGATGGAAGGGTAATCCAGTCTTATCTATATCTCATATCAAATATATATATACAAGTATTTATAGATATATAATATTTAATGTATATATAATATTTCTAAAAAAAAAGCCCTAAAAACAAATATTTCTTAACGAAGTATTCTTGTATAGAGGCCAGAACTTCGACCGTTTTTTGTAAAAAAAAAAGCAGTCGATATTTTTAACATCGATTTTGTATCACTATTTTGTTCATATTTCAAGAATAGACAATTAAAAATTATTAAATTATGCGCTCTGCATTCTTCTCGATTTTTTGGAGAATATTAGAATATAGAAAGCTTCGGTTCTGGTTGGTTCAGAGATATTGGAAATAGAATATTTGTGCCGAATTTTAAGTAAATCGGCTGGTTAGAACTTGGTATGTCGCGATAATCAGAAAAAAATTGTTAAAGATTGTAAATTATGATTCAAGCGGCCCACCCTTAACAGGCTATAACTTCAAAAGTAATTTGAGTTTTGGATATAGAGCCGATTATCGAAATATGATAAAAGATAACTTTCGACCTTTTCGCATTTTGAGGCTAGAGTAATTCCTTAATTAACGCTCTTGAGCTGCGGATATATTTTTTTCTAATGAATTTCTTAAAATATTTGGGAGTATACTTTTTCCATATTGAATATTTGAACATTCTAGCTCTCTATTCCTTATCTAGTGGGGTTATAATTTCGTAATATTTTGAATACCATATTTCTTAAACGGAACTCTATGCTTCTAGATATAATTATTTCTTACAACATCAGTAAATTCGAGAAGCTAACTCAAACTTTGTCTCTACGAAATATGAGATTATGAGAAGAAAAATAGAAATAAGTAAATTAAAGTCATATATATATGAACTATCAGATCAAATTTTACCAACACTTGCAAACAAGACTACCTTTTCATGTATTTTAATGCAGCTCTTTATTAACGCCAATAAAATAGGCCCCTTTGGGACTATGCGAATGTTCCCACACATTTGTTATATGTCTCGCTTTTGTTCTATTTCTTCTTAACATCCGATTTATTTACTGTAAAGTGAAAGATTTTGAACGGTTTTTAATTAAATTGATGTCATAAGGGAAGTAGGCGTGGCTTCATAACCCATGTTTAGATTACAGCATTACAATGTTCAGATAATACTATATACAATGTACTATGGATACTAGTCTTCAATTCATGAAGTAGTCGCCAACATGCGGGATATCACCTAAGCCTGCCTCTTTCAACTCCTCGCATGCCAATTTATTTTTGAAAATAAACATATATTTGGGAAAGTTTAAATTTTTAAAATGTGTAAGCAAAAATTTACTTACTCTTTCTCGATTTAAATACAGACATATGTATATATTAAATAGTAGTTATAATACTGCCAATCATTTCATTTTCTTTCACTAAGAATACCAACTGAAGGCAACTGTCACCAATTGGTTTCATGACAATTTTATGCTTTCTAATTTCTAACACAATTACTTGTTACCTGTAAGACACAACAACATGAAATAAAAGTTGTAAAAGAGCATAAAAGGCGAGAAAAATTAAAGAAATTTCGCTGATTTTTGTTTGTTTACTTGCAGCTTTGATTGTTGTGCTTTGCCATTTTCCAATTTACACTTGACAAATTTTTGGCAATGTTACTGATTCAAGTAATAACAAAAGAGAAGAAAATAAGTAATAAAAAATTTCTTCCATAAATTTAGTATTTTAGTTATTTTTGAAAGTGTTTGAAGCCTAATGAAGTTATTTTTACAAATTGAAAATATCTATAAGCAAATAATTTGGCTGAATTTAAACTATTTAAAATATTAAAAACAATTACTTTCAATATTTTTGAAAAAGCAACGCTAACTTACAATAATTTTGCGACTGTGTAGTGAGCGATTGTTTATTTTTTTTTTTTTTTGCTAATTTTGGGTTTATTTCATATAATAACGTCTATAAAATAGCCACATTAAAATATTACTTTCATTCAGTATGCTGATAAAGAAATCTATATATCGTCACCTAAAATGCAAAACATAAAAAAAATTGATTTTGTATTTCTAACTTAATTTCGTATGCGGAATCGTTGCAAAAATTGGAAAAGGCTTACAGTGATTCATTTTTGTTAAAAACACAAGCCTTCGAGTGAGGCAAAGCCTTCAAAGAAGGTCGAAAGATCGTTAAAAACATGCGTCGTTCTGTAGGATCTAAAGTAAGAGAGATGACTAGAGAGCTCGACATCTTTCTTGAGTTCGTTCAAATGATTTTGGTTGATATTTTGGGTATGAAACCCGTTCTTGCTCGACTCGTTGCGATAAAGCTGAATTTTTTTCAAAAAGAGTATCCTAAACAAGTCTCTTTAGACATGCTTTATCGTACATATTCCGATTCCACATTAATGGAGAGCAATATAATTGCCAATGGTAAGTTTATGTGTATGACATGCAAACAAGTTCACAATCATCGGAATGGAGGGGAAAAAACGACCTTAAACCAAAAGCCGCTCAAAATAAAGGTAATGCTAGTTTTTATCGATATTCATGGTTTGGTGCATCATGTATTTGTTTGGGAGGGTCAAACGGTCCAACGGGAGTTCTATTTGGCATTATTGAGGTGTTTGCGTAAGAACATCTGTCGAAAACGGTTTAAATTGTATAACAAAAATGCAAGGATTGTACACGGTGATCATGTACCTTCGCATTGAGCCAGAGTTATGACTACATTTAATGCCAAAAATACAATGAATAGCATCGATCAACGACCGTATTCCCTAGATTTGTCTTCAGGTGATTTTTCTTGTTCTCAAATTAATATTGGCGCTGTGTGAAAGCCGTTTTCAGTGGATCGAGGAAATAATACAAAATTCACTGAATATATATAAAATTTTGCTGAAATATGCGATATTTTTTCGTCGTTTTTTTTCTGATTTTTTTGAAACAAAATTTAATTTTTCAGTAATCTATAACCGATATTGGCGGTATCTACGCCAATAAAGCAGAAGACTAGCTCTTTAAAATCCATGTAAATTATAAAAAGAAAATTTTGCAAATACTTTCAGGCACTTATGGGATATAAAGTCTCCTGAAATTAAATTAAAAAAAAAAATATTGAAAAAATAATGAAATATATGAAAATACTGAAAAATATGAATATTTTTTTTTTTTGTAATTTTTTYCCACAGTTAAACACCTGCTACAGTGCCAATGAATTTCTCCCATGCTTTATAATTCAGCGATTTTCTATATTATTTTACTTTTACCGTTCTATGTGTCTTTCACAATGTATGTCGAACTGTCTAACTGCCAATCGAGTCTGTTTGTGTCTGGAGTTGTGCTGGTTTCACGGCTCAATGCTGCTAAATTGCCAATATATTTGTTTTTGTCTTCTGTACATATATACCTTCATATATATATGAAGCATTACATTTGTATGTTTATGTATATGAATATATGTAAGTGCATATATGACATTTTCCCAACCTTTCTAACTTAACTATTACTACTTTTATTAGCATTACCGTTATTTTTACGGCTTATTTATTTTACTCAACGGAGTATTAAAGAAATATACTTACATACATAGATATACACATACATATTTATTTTTGTGCCTGTGTGTTATTATAATATTATCTCTACGATTGAAAGTATCTGAGCAAGTGGATAAATATAATCTGCAGATAAGTAAAAATATTTATAAGTAACTGCATATGCGCAAGTAACTGATAGCAGTTTAATATATRTATGTATGTTATTATATACATATGTATAAATCATATTATGTATGTGTTTAAAAATTTACCTCATTTTCTTTGCCACAACGCTGTCATTTCTGCCTCATTTCTGCGCATTAAAAGTTTCTCACTTTTTTCTGGCGCGCAAATTTCGAATTTTACTCGCTTGACTTGCTGCGCATGCGCGCACGTTCACTTGTTATTTATTCATATATCCAGTAGGAATATATGTGTGTATGTTTGTACTTGCTGCATGGCTGTGTTGCACACTGCTTGTTGCTATAATTCTATTTTCCAAAGCTCAAAAGCCATTTGCGCTTAATTTTTTCGCCACTCTTACCCACCATTTATTTGTTCTTATTGTGTTTTTCGTGTTTCTGTGTTAGCTATTTACTGTTGCAGTGTGCAGCTATTTTCTCCCATCCATCAGCTTGGCGGCATGTAGCATAACATTCATAACTAACGCCATATTTCTACTGCTATGCGGCTATTTTAGCTTCTAAGTATATATTTCATGATTATTTCATGGATGTATGTGTGAATATGTAGGTATGTATGCATGTCTGCATATAAATCTATATACACATAAATATAGTATATGCATGTATGTGTTTTTATTTTAACATTCTACCCCAGTCATAGCGTCGTCTGCCGTTGACGTTATGTTTTTTTTTTTTCATGCAGCCGCCTTTGCCTCTATTCATGCCATTGATCCACTGATCCATATTTCTCGGTGGCAGACGCGAGCTCGCAGGCGCTAATTAATAATACATATTATGGCTGTGTGAGCTACACTTTTTTTTTATCGGTCTGGTGGTTGCAGGCCGCCGCCAACCGAGTTGTAGCCAAGCTGTGCGAAGCGCGCTAATAGCGTTAAGAGAAAAAGCGAGTAGCCAAGTAGCCTGTATGGCGTGCAGATAGACAAGCTGCGTCGAATTTCCCCTTCAGTGGCTTAAATGTGCCTAGCTACTACTACTATTTTATTTTCGCTTCATGCTATGGTTATTATATTTTCAATTTACGAGTGGGTTTTTAGCTATGCGCTGAGCGCTCATTCGTTGGCGCAAATTAAATCACATTTCGTATAAAATTTGTAGTTACCTGGAAGAAAAAAATTAAAATATAAAAGTAGAAATTTTTTAAATGTTATATATAGGAGTATATACTGAAAAACATTTTCTATTATTT